CAGCTGGTGTGAGCTGCCAAGAGCCACTGCGAGTGGCCATCCAGAGGCCAGCAACCAATCTGCCTCACCCAGGAAGAGTGCAATGATAATACCAACATGGGCCATGAAGCAACATCCTCCATAACTAGACTGAAGAACAAAAGGACAGCAACTTCTCTGTTCCCCTTTCCCCAATCGCCAGAGCTGTTCCTCTCCCCCAATTCCCCAATAAAAAATCTTTAAATAAATAAAAAAAAGGATCAATGGAATCTTGGAAGAAGCCATGCACTGCTGCAAAAGAAATTTCCACGAGACACTCATGTAGTGCTTACTCTGTGCCAGGAATATTTGAAGCGCTTTACAAATGCTGATCTTTCAATTCTCTAACCCCATATCATCAGTGTTTTTAATTCCCATTTGATGGGTCAGACAACTGAAACACAGAGGGGTTAAGTAACCTGCCCAAGTTCCCTGGAGCAGAGAACCCTGTGTCTGTGCGCTCACCACTATGACATACTTCTGGGCGAAATGTCCAACTGGTTGCCTGGATATTATCTGAGTGCCCTCTGTTCTCAGCATCTTCCAAACTAGCAGACACCTATAGGGGGGTTGAGACTCATTCCTGGAGGTTAAGTCACTATGCCTTTGGAGCCTGCGATCAGCACAGCAGGTGGCAGTGGGCAAGGAGTGTGTCCTGTGGTGGCGGCTGGCTGTTATCTCAGCTTCTTTCTGGATTCCCAGGGAGCAGAGGGACAGAACTATGGGAATTAGAATGCCTGCTTTCATGCTGCAGCTCTGCCTTAGATTTCCTCAGAGGCCACAGAATCATAGTAACGAAAACCCTAAAGGCCTTAGAATTCACTTCAGTGAACTTTCCTTTTACAAATTTGATAGAATCCCTTATGGCATGCCAGTGGCTGAGCCGATCCTGAAATTCAGGCCTCTTGAGTTCCCCTTTCTGCTGCTTCATGCTTCTGAGCCTTGCTTTGCCTCTGCCCAGTGGGCATGGAGGGTTCTAGTGATGTTTCTTTATTAAAGGGTCATTGAGACAACGCCTGTAAAATGCATGGAGCTTCTTGGAAGACACGCCTGCCAATCACTACATGTGTAATAAGAAGTGAGTTAGAGGGAACACATGTCTGTGTGGGCAGTAGTGAGTGATCATAATGGTGAAGAAAAGGAATAACTGTTACTGAGTACTTACTAGGGTAAGTACTTACTGTGCTGAGGTGCTTTCCAGCATTGTCTATTCATCCTCCAAACAACCCAACCTTCTCTGGTTGGGACTGAAGTTAAGTAACTTGTCAAGGATCTCATAGGTAATGGCAATGGGGCTGAGATGCCTATCCAAGACACTTTGTTCCCAGAATCCCTACTCCCAGGTACTAAGCTTAATATCTCCTGATGGATATTGGTTTCGTGGAGAATCTAAGAGCAGAGAGTCTACAGAGAGGCCATTCCAGACTCTTGGGTATCATTCCAAAAAGACAGACTGAACAGAGAACTAATCAACTTGTGCACTGCTTTGCTGATATGTCTCTCAAAACCTTATTTTCATTATGCCTCAATGTTGCTACCTCTCCCCCCATGTTGAAATTTCTTTGTGTTTGGCTCAGTGCTCTGCCAATGGCTCAATTCATTCTTATTGAATGAGCAAAACAGTTTCAGAAATGGAGATTATGAAACTTTAAAAGTCATTCCAGGGCCGGCCGAGTGGCGTGATGGTTAAGAACTGGCTTGGGACGCCAGA